GGGCTGGCGAGGAGGGTGGTTGTGCCTGGCGGAGTCCGGCTCCAGACTCGGGGTGCTCCCTGGCAGCGGCTAAACTCGGTCTTCGCTTATGAATGATTTGCATATGAAAGGGGAAGATGACTGAACATCCGCTGGGCGCCCCCTCGGTTGCTCTGTGAGCTCCAGACCTTTCCCCCCCGAAAACCCGGGCACCTCCCTATCCCGCGCCCGCCGCATGCCCTCAGACCCGCAGCCCCAGCCTGCTAGCTAGCTCGACTCGCGGGGTTTCCTGCCACTGGACCCCAGCAAGTGTTCCTAGCGGCTTCTTGCTATCTTGTAGTCCCTGCCACGACTTCCTGTGCCCCCCTGTCCCATTGCTGTTGTCCGACTATTTATTGACTCTGGGTCCTTCCTGAAACTATATTTTGTCATATCAAATAAAGACGAAGAGAGAACGGGACTAAGATGCAGTGGCTCCTGTCTGTTTGGGGCATGTAGGGGGAAAATGTGTCTAAAAGGGCTGTGAGGCGTAAGAGACGGCTTGCCACCTTGGAGCCTTCTCTTAAAATCTGTGTTTAGTTTCTAGGGGCAGTGAGAAGAGGGAGGTGAAACTGAGTTCCTTCCCTTATCCCTGTTTCCAAGAAGGGCCTCTGGGGGAAGAGGGGGGCACCTAGGCCTCCTGTGCCAGCTTTCCTGCCTGGTGACTGTCCAAGGCACTCAGGCCTCTGCACCCCGTTCCCACTTGGGTGTATCCAAGGCCTCTAGACTGGCAGCAGCCCCCACTCCATGCCAGAGGTGATGTCCAGGGATCTGTGGCTCCGCCGTGCTCAGACGCAGGCCCTTCTGGGGCTCTGAAGACCTCTCCTGGCCTAGGTGCCCTGAGATGCCTCATGGACATAGAGGGCAGACCGAGCCCTCCCTCCAGAACCCCATTTGGTCCCAGAAAGACCCCCAGAGACAGTTGGTACAGCGTGGTGAAGGGGTGCTGGGGGAGTTGGAGGAAGTATACCTCCAGTTTCCCAGATACTGGGGGACAGGGAACAGGGAGGACAGTCTGCAGTGTGTGCCTGCCTGATGTTCAGACTGTTTCTCTACCTTCTAGGGCCTAGGGCTATGCAGAACAATTCACTGGAAAAAGCACTGCATAGACCAGTGCTGGAGTCACGTCTGTTTGCCATCATTTATCTCCGTCTCTGGGATTTTGTGTGGATGGAAGGGTGGAATAAAGGGAGGGGGGAAGGCAGATAATTCAGGTGGTATCTGAGATGGCCCTTGCGTCCCTCCAGGGTCCTGGGATAGGGTGGGGGAGGATGCACTTTACAGGAGAAACAAATGTGAGAAGGGTCTATAAAACTTTACTGCATTTCCTCTCCTGCCTCCCACAACAGGGTGATTTCCTGGAGCCAAGCCTGAGCCCCTACACTGGTAGAGTGGGGATCTGGAGTTGGGTGAGGGGGCTGCACCAGCAGTCAAGAAGAAAGGGGAACAGAGAGGCTCTGGGGAGGGGCAGGGAATATTTATGATTATTAATGCTGATGCTCTTTGGATTTATTGTAAAGACTAACTTGGCTGCATCCCACTGCCTAAGCTGTCAGTCATTTTTAAAAGATCCAAGAGCCTTTCCCCATCCCATGCCTAGTTCATAGGAGGTCTCACCAAATGCCTATGAGCAGCTCCCATGACTACCACCCTTCCCCTTCACAGGTCGCTCATGCCAGGTTAGGGTGCCCTTTAGGTCTGTCAACTTGCACACAGCAGTCAGCACGCTCGCTGGCTTGCGCGCTCTCTCTCTCTCTCTCTCTCTCTCTCTCTCTCTCTCGCTCTCTCCCTCGCTCTCACTCTCACTCTCTCTGAAATAAAATGTGTAATTTTCTTCAGGGAGTTATTTTAATTTTTTCTCCATGCTGTGTAAAACTATTGGGTGAGCAGTGAAGCGTGGCGAAGCATCGGCATCTCCAATGGGTAACAGTTAACTAAGAAATAGGCTGTGGCGCCCGCACTCACCCACCCCAGCCTCCCAGGCTGCCAAGGCCCTGTGCTTCCTCCTCAGGGGATGGACACACCACCCCAGGGGGAGAGCCAAGGGCTTTACCAGGGGGCAAATGTTGGTTAGAGCCACCAGGCAGGGTGCACCAGCCCCACCATCCACTGACTGTCTCCTCCCAGCAGGGTTTGGGCCTCTCCTTCCCTGGAGGAGCTGAAGGACAGGCTCATTTTGGCCAGGCTTGGGTAGACGCAGCCGTGCCTGCCTGCTCTCCCGCTTCCTGTCACAGTCTGCAGGTCTGTGCCCAGGACCCAGCAGCCTCGGCTTCTGCGGAGTCAGCAGCAGCGACCAAGCCACAGGCCTCAGACCTGCCCTCCTGCACTAGGGGTGGGTGAGGCCCAGAACCCTGCTGTCTCCCTGAGCAGAGGCTTCTACCTCAGGGTCTGGGGTACGCCCCCCCAGCCAGCCCCCTGGAACAGTCTTCAAGTACCGGGGTTTGGCATTACTCTGGGGGAGCTAGAGGAGGGGGCTCCTGGGTTCCAAACAGAGACCACGGAGCCTGCCTCTCCACTTTGCCCTGAAACCCACCCCCTCTGGCAGCAAGAAAGAAGGGGAAGAAGCGTGACTTACCTTCCCGGGGGAGTGGGAAGAGGGGGACACGGCCCACTCTGAGCAATTAGAGGAGAGAGAAGGAAAAAAATAGGAGGACAAAAATATCAACACGACCTCGAAGGCGACAGGTCCTTATGGAAATAAGTAAGTAAATAAATAAATAAATAAATAAGGATCCACCCTCTCCTCCCTCCCCACCCTGCAAGGGGGGTGTGGGGGTGGGGCAAAGGAGCAGCACGAGGGCTTTTTAGTGTAACTGAGCATTAGAGAAATAGGCATGGCTTCTATGTGAATTTAGGAGTTTGAAACTTTTGGAGGTTATTTATGTGAATGGCCTGAAGGCAAGCCCGTGAGTGGCTCTTGGGGGACCACGTGATGTCATTAAACCAAGTTTTATGGTGTAGGGAGAGCTGACAAACCCACAATATATTTACATCATATATAATCTTAACTGTCCAGCCACGCAGCTGCTGGTGAGGTTTAATGCTAGGACAGAGGGCCTGGCAGTTAGAGGGGATTACGGCGCTGGGGACGATGGTGAGAGAGGTTACATCTTCGCAAATGAATCCCAGGCGAACGCTGTGAGTTAATTCTTTCTCTCTCTCTTTCTCAGTCCTTTCTCCCATTTACCTAACCACCGCCCCCACTTGATAGAAGGCAGCTCCCACTCATGGGGGGGCTTCCCAAGCAGAGGTGGGAGAAGAAGCCGCTGGGATGCGGGAAGATGGGGGAGCTTGCCTACCCAGGGCAGCCCTCCCCTCCCCACCCGTTCCCTCCGACTGCAAGGCGACTGGGGTAGGGAGAGGCCTTGTTTCTTGAGAATCTTCCTGATCCCCTCTCAGTTGTGAAGAAGACCAGCGGCAGAGACAAGGGTGTAAACTCTAGACACAAGCGCAAAATGCCTCTGAGGCCCCCTGATCCAGGGAGGGGTGAGTTCAGCCCTTGGCCAGTAGCCCAGAGTCCAGGCAGGGTGGGAAGCTGGGGAGCAAGGCGGAGTTGAAGGGCTTTGTGGCCTCTGAGCCCACAGGCTATTGATGCCTGAGCTGGCAGAAGCATCTTAAAGGTGGCTGAAGGACACAGGAGACCCAGAGTGCCGCCTTTCCCCTCCCCACCAGGCTTGGGAGGGCAGCTGTCCCCGCCTGTGTAGTCCGGTCTTAGTCTGTCTGGAGCCAGTGTGGTTTCATGCTTTCCCTTCCCTCTAGCTGCTGGGGTCTTCCTAACGTTCCCAGCCCTTGTCTCACATAAAACTAGGCCCTGGGAGACCTGGAGGTTCCTGCTGTGAGTGAAGCATAAATGTGTGGAGGACGGGTGATGGAGTGGAGGCGATGTCTTTGCTAGGCTGGGAGAGCCCCCAACCTTGAGGAGGGAATAGCCCCTAGGGGAGGGGAGGGAGCTAGCAGGGTCCCATCTGAGCACTGCACCCTGGGATCAGTCCTCAGGCTGGGGCGCCCTTCAGGTTTCTAGGAAGGAACAGCAGAAGCACTGGGTGTGGGAGGCACGTGTCCTCCACACCTGCGAGTGCGTGTCCCCACGCCGTGCGTCACCTACTGGGAGCCAAGCCAGGAAAGTGACAACCTGTGAATTTAGGCTTCTTCACTGGCCAGCCATGAATAGCGAGGTGTTTCGAAGCAGGGCTGAAGGCCAGCAGGCCCATGGGGCAACCCTCAAGCTGGGAGAAAGGAGAGGGGAGTAAGCCAGGACTGCACCTTCCTGTGGCGGGTGTGCCTTGGCGAAGAAGAGTGTCTGGGCACCACTTTGCGGAGAGGTGCTGTTGTGGGTGGGCAGGGAACACTGTGAGATAGCCCCTGCTGCCCAAGGGACTGGGGGAGAAGCAGGAATCCAACAGGGAGGGGTAGTCCAGGTGGACTCTGGGCGGAGAAAGGGGGACAGAAGCTCACAGACACAGGGAGTCTAAGCTGAGTCCCGTCCTTGAGTCCAGGGGTAACTCTCACTTTCAAAATGAGCAAGTGCAGGAGTCAACAGGAGGATTCCCCTGATGCCATCCTTCATGGCCTCCCCACCCCCTGACACCGTTATTTCCCTGGGAAACGTTAGGATCCCAGAAAGTGTTCAGTTTCTCCCTTCCTCCTTACTCTCTGCCCTGCCTTCCCCACTGGTCTATGATTTTGAGCGTTTCTGGAAACTTTCCCATCTAAGCAGCAGAGAGATGGGAGTTTCCCTGGGTCTATAACTTGACTCTTCCCCTCCCTCCAGCCACCCCAGCGCCCTAGGGAGTGAGT